AAATTTCGAGTATCTGCCGATGGGTTACTTAGATTTCAGGACATGATGTGTGTTCCATGTGACAATGAGCTAAAAAGGGACATCATGACAGAGGCTCATAGCTCAAAGTTTGTCATGTATCTCGAAAGCACTAAGATGTATCAAAGTATGCGATCCTGATTTTAGTAGAACGGGATGAAAAGAAAGGTGGCCGACTTTGTTTTCAAGTGTTTGGTATGTCAGAAAGTCAAGACAGAGCATCAACGCCCAAGCGGACTATTTCAGGTATTACCAATTTCGGAGTAGAAAGTGGGAGCACATCACAATGGATTTCGTAACAGGATTGCCTATGACACGCTTGAGACATGATACCATTTGGGTAATTATTGACTGGCTCACCAAGTCTTCCCACATCCTAGTTATCAAGATGACCGACCCCTTGAACAAACTAGCAAAAATATATATCTGGGAGATAGGCAGGTTACATGTAGTGCTAGTGACAGTAGTATCCGATAGGGACCCCAGGTTCACTTCTAGGTTCTGGTCTAGTTTTCAGCAAGTCATGGAAATGAAATTGTCCCTTAGTACCGCATTCCACCATCAGATTAATGGACGATCAGAAAAGACGATCCGCACACTGGAGGATATGCTCCGAGCTTGTGTTCTTGACTTCGGGGGCTATTAGGATGATCGTTTATCCTTAATAGAATTCGCCTACAATAACAGTTACCAAGCAAGTATCGGTAGGGCTCCGTACGAGGTCGCTCATGCAGGTCGCCAATCTATTAGGAAGAACATCCAGATAGCTCATAGCAGACAGTAGAATTATGCGGATATCCAAAAGAGGAATTTAGGATTCGAGAAAGATGATCGAGTGTTCCTTAAGGTCACTAATTTCAAGAGAATCAGTAGGTTTAGCAAGAGAAAAAAATTAAATCTCCGATTTATTGAGCTATTTAAAATCTTAGATAGAATTGACAGTCACCTACAGACTGGCACTACCTCCATAACTATACAAGGTCCATAATATGTTTCATGTGTCTATGTTATGCGAGTACAACTGGGACCCTTCTCACATCTTGGCCCACGAGCCCCTTTCACTCCAGGAGGATCTGTCCTATGAGGAGGTACTGGTAGGTATTGTGGACCGAAAGAGCAGAGTACTCCGCAACCGTAAAATTTCATTTGTTAAGGTCCTATGGCAGAATCACACATAGAGATATGCTACATGAGAGATAGAATCAGACTTCAGAGCCCAATACCCTCAACTGTTTGATTGAATGAGAGAGAGACAAATTTGAGAAACCAAATTTCTTTTAAGAGGGGAGAGTTGTAATACCCGGACCTGCAATTTGACATGAGATTAATTTTAAAATTAAAAAATATATAAAAATATAATTTTAAAATTTATAAATTTTTATTTAATGTAAAATTATGAAAAACTAGGTGGATGATGAAATTGAAAATAATTTTGGGAAAAAAGGGTAAAAATTTAGGTTTGGAGGTATTTTTGAAAGAAAAATAAAAAACTGGAGGTCAAAACGCAATTAAAAAAAATGTGCCACGTAGGACCACTGGTAAATTTTTATTTTTTGATTTATTTTTTGCCAACCGACGCCCCTTAACATGTTTTTTTCGTAGGGATGAGTATAAAACCAGTTGAAACCGACCAAAACTAGCTGAAAACGGTCAGTCCAAGGCAAACCGCCGCCGCGGGCGACGGTGCCACCGTGCCGAAATTCTAAAATTAGCCAAAAAAAAGTTTTTAACACCGATTTTGGATTTTTTGGGGTATTTTTAGGTACGTAAAACATGTTTTTACCTCCGTAAGAAAATTCAAGAAACTCGGAGACTGCCAGTAAGCACAATAGAAAGTTCAATGTTTTGAACACCGATTCGGGTAAGAATCCCTCACCTTATTCGTTGTTATAAAATTGAAGTCTAATTATAAATAATATGGTATTTTGTATAATTTAGAAAACTTCGATAATCAATTACAGGTTATTAATAGAGTCGGAACAAGTTATTTATTACTGTTTGTCTTGTTTTAATTGATTGTTTGATTGTACAGTTTTAAATGTATGATAATACACTGAAATTGGTAAGATGATTCAGTTGTGTTTGCTTGATGTATGTATTACTCGTCTTGCATGATTTACAGTTAAATTATGAAACTGAAAATTAAATGTAAACAAAAAATTGCTTGGTTAAGTGAATTTTTACATTCGCAGGAAAATTCAGGAAACTCGGGGACTGCCAGTAGGCGCAAGAGAAAGTTCAGTGTTTTGAACACCGATTCGGGTAAGAATCCCTCACCTTATTTCTTATTATAGAATTGAAGTCTAATTATAAATAATACGGTATTTTACGTAATTTAGAAAACTTCGATAGATAATTACAGGTTACTAATGAAGCCGGAACTGGTTATTTATTACTGTTTATCTTGTTTTAACTGATTGTTTGATTGTACAGTTTTAAATGCATGATAATACACTGAAATTGGTAAGATGATTCAGTTGTGTTTGCTTGATGTATGTATTACTCGTCTTGCGTGATTTACAGTTAAATTGTGAAACTGAAAATTAAATGTAAATAGAAAATTACTTGGTTAAGTGAATTAATGAAACAATTGTCTTACTGGATATCCTAGGAGATGGTGTACAGACCGGATACATTGGAAACCCTACCGTGAACGTTACCTCATACCGGATGGGGTATTGAGAAATAGTATTTTTGGTACTCATACCGAACAGGGTATGAGGATGGTCTGATTCACCCTCATACCATACGGAGTATTTAGAAATGATATTTTTTGCGCTCATACTTAACGAGCTATGGGGACGACCGATTAGTTGACAAGTTTTGTTATGGGTTCACGCATGGTGTGACATCCCTATGGACCCCCAGGGATACCAGTAAGCAAATAGAAAAGGAAAAGTTATTGTTCTTCCTAATTGAATATGAGATTATGATGTTGTTTGTGTTATTGTCTCTATAAGTCGATTTTAAAAATTATGCTACGGTAAGTATGTAATAAATAATTTTATTTATGATAAATGAATTTACTTAATTTAAGAATTTCATTAGTTATTTTTATGATTTTTACCAACCTTCATTTCTGTATTGGTGAGTAGTATGATATTTTTACTGAACTAATGTAGCTCACATCTTCATTAACTATTTCAAATTAAGAAGACCAAGATCTAGATCTCGATCAATAAGAGGGTTGTGAATAGTTCACCACCTGGACTCCTTCAAAAGTTAGTGAATGTCGTCTTAAGATGCTCAGTTATTTACTTTTTGTTTATTTTTTTTTATTTTCGTTTGTTCTTTTATAAGGAATATTCTCGTAGCCCTGTTTTGGGCATCCTAAATTATTGTGTAAGGAATGTAAACCCTAAACTCTATTGTTTCGCTTCTATATTCAATTCATGTCTTTATCTCCTTTTCAGTTCCGGACATTACGAATGTGTAACTTTTTTAGTGGGGTAATTTATCATGCTTGTTGCGATATATATTTATAGAATGAGAAAACTTAGGCTATGGGTATTTATAGGAAACGTGTAGCCCAATTGTATGAAGAGATTGTTCGTTTGGGTTTTGATGCAAAACAAGAAACAGAAGCTTATATTTATCTTTTGGGCAAACCAAACATGGTGTATGGTTTTATGAGTTTCCCATATTAAGGACGCAAGACGTTCTTGCAAAGTTAATGACTTTTATTAAAACTCAAATTCAAATAAAAAAACTTATTAATTTGTAATTTTTGATATTTGATATTTGATTTTTTTTGTATTTTCAGATAATTAAAAATGGAGATTGTTGTTGTTGACGTGCAAGGCTCAAGTATGAATTTAGAAAAGTTTAAAATTTTATATTGCATGATGTATTCTACTTCTTTATGTGGTCGGTTAGAATTTATATAAATAATTAATAATTTATTAGGAAAATGGATGAAATTTATTATTATAATGGACTAATATGTAGTGTAGTTTAGAGTGATTAATCTATGTTGAGTTTATAATTGAAATGGTAAGACAAATGTTATACCTTTAAAATTCTTATATTTATGAGATTATATATTTTTTTAAATAAAAAATTTAATATGATACATATTAAAAAGAAAATGATTGAAATTAATAATAGTGCATAATAGAAATCAAATTAATATACAAAAAATAATAAGAATAATAGGAATATACAAAGAAATATGAATAATAGGAATTTACAAAAAAATCTTCTTCTTTTTCTTTATTTTTATCTAATTATATATATATGTACACATATATGCATATAGTCACTTTATCTTCGTTTGTATTTTATATATTTATTTAATTATATATATAATATGAATATAAAAAAATGTCTTCTTTTTTTTTCCTAAATTTCTTTTATTTTATTGTACATATATACATACATATATATATAGGTATACCGAATTGTCACTTGATTTTCTTTTTTATAAAATTTATTTATTTTATTATATATATATATGTATCTATATATTTAATTATGTGTACATATATATAATATATTTAATTATTTATATATATTTAGTTATATATATACATATATCTGTATATTTAATTATATATATAATTTTTAGTTATATATATGTATTATTTAATTATATACATATATATATCTATATATTTAATTATATATGTACATATATATAATATACTTAATTACATATATACATGTATATATTTGTTTTTCGTTTCTAGAGTCTCTCAAAAGAAAAATTAAAGTATTTACAAAAAAAAAAAAAGGACACTCAAGTTTATACGAAATTATTGAATATTTTATGTTTATTTCAATATTAAAAATGGGAAAATGAAAAAATTATGGTAAATTATTAGAAATGAGATTTGAATATGATGGGCTTTGATCCAGGAAACATCGTTAAGGCCCAGAAAGTTTGTTATTGCAGGAGAAAGAGGGAAACGGTGCGTTTTAAGTCAATCCATCAAAACCTATAAAGACGACACCTTTCGTTTAAATCATCTTCTTCGCCTGCTTTTTTCATAAGAACATCTCTTGACTCTTCAAGCTTATTTTTCTGATCATAGTATCTGAAAGAACGAAAATGCTGTGCTCTAATGGCGTTATTCGTATCTCCCGTACTATTCCTGTCAGTAAATGGATACAGGCTCGCGAATCTTGCTCCAAGTTATTTGTTGGAGGTCTCTTTCTCCACTCTTCTTTCACTATATGTTCTGTTTTTTCTCTGGTTTTATATTATCAGTAGTATCTCGCTGTTCTGATTATGAATCCTTTTATTTTCCGTGAAATGATTGAACTGATTTTATGATTAATTGGATGAGAAATTTGTTCAGTTATTTCAAAATTAGAAGTTTATCAATTTCCACCCAAGTGATTTATTTACAGTTTTAATTGGTTTGGATCTGTAGCTATTGGCTAGAATCATCTTTTAGGAAGCTGATGGATATTGGCCGCAAATCGAAATGCTCGAACTGCTTTTAAGATGAATTAAATTGGAAATTTCTTCTTTATATGATTTGGGTCTCAAGCAATTGATTTTAAGCCCCTTTTAGGAAGATGATGGAATGTTGGCTGCAAAACAAGAATGGAGAGGGAATTTTTAATTCTTAGTAGAAATGATAGGTTGATTTTGGCGAAAGGTTAGATACAGTGCGCACAGTCATTAGAGAGGAAGGTGAAGGTAGGAGTTCCTCCAGTTCTAACAGGAGCATATCTAGGTCACTTTAGGGAAGTCTTGCTGAATTCATGGTTTTGGCATTGTGAATCTAAAGGTCTTGTCCAGATGCTTATACATTAGATTTCACCAGAGATTTTGACGGCAAGATAAGGTCTTGGGAGATGTGTCTGTGAGAATCTTGAAAAATTCCCAAGGGTTTTCCACAAGGTATAAACAGCATAGGATATTTCTATGGCATCTGCAAAGAGGTAAGTTCTTGTGTTCAAGCATTATGGTGTATAAGAATCTGAACTGACACCCATGAGTAGGAATTATTTACTAAAAGCTTATCTGGTTTGCATCAGATGGTTCATCGTATGAGAGATTAAATTCTGACCGGGATCAGATGTCCAATTGGGCCATCAGTTTGAACATATATTCCTTAACACAAACATTTGAAAAATTTAGAAAGGACTGGTGACAAGGATTGGTGTGTAAGTGGGAGCCAATGTCTCTAGGAAGGATTCGTGGCAAGGAAGAAAACAAAGAGATTTACAAGAACTGTGAGACAATTACGGAGATGAGAGAATTACACTAAGGAACTGGCTATATGAGGGGCATGCATGCAAATGTATGGAAGGAGTTTCTTCAACTTGATGCTTAAAGGTGTCAGCAATAAACATGACTACAGATGTTGGGATCAGGTTTTTGGTAGTTATAAACAGCCCCCTCATATTCAGTGCATGATGGTTTCATTGCAATCCTAACTATAGTGAAGCCAGCATACCTATAGTCTCCAGGGGCAAAATATCCAAACTTCATAGAAAACCCATTCTTGAAGGCCTTTACAATAATTGTGTCAGGTTCGGCATCAAAGGCATAATGCTTTTGGAAAAGCACACAATTGATAGTAATCCATGGCATGAAAATTTTTTGGGAACACATACAATTGTGAGTAAATCTGTGTACTGTGAGTTTGGTTCGGCAAAAATCTGGATCGGATGGAGTGTACTAGCACATGGGAATCCAAATCTAGGATTTAGGTTTTATTGGAATTGATCAGGAAACCACAGTGCACATTATTTCTCCTGATAGTTTTTTGCAATTTGATGATCCAGTTCCATTGAGAACTCTGTGATCAAGAAGTCAGGCATTTTACTTCATTTGTTTGGTTTTAGCAATATTGAAAGTAACAAGGTTGTCACTGTTGCATTAAGGAACGTAATTCTACTTTTCTGACTTGTTAGCTTAGATTATTGTAGAAGTTTCCTTCAAAATGATATTCTTTATTATGTATGCTTTAATCATATCTTCTCTCATAACTTTCATTATTGCAAAATGAATTTATTCTTAAAATAAACTGAATAACTGTTTTCTAGTATTTGTCTTATCTAGACAACAACTGTAGAGTTATTCAAATTACATAATCTGCTAACTAATGGTTGGTAAAAAGACAACAAGGCACAATGCTGTGAGCACGGACAGCTTGAATGTTATACTCTTAATAGGTCATGGCATGGGTTGTTCTATGGGTGATCAAAGTGTTTTAGGTCATAAACAACACCCACATGGAGGGAAGCAAAACTTGGAAGTCTCATATGATGGACTTGGAACACATGAGAAAAACATCCTAAAGATAAGTCGGCCAAGCACAAGAACATGGACAAAGAGGCTTGAGGAAAACTTCTTTAATTATATTAAGGGACGAATTAGTAAGAAAGAAGGGTTTGAACCAAGTATGGAAGCCCACAAGGGAAGAAGAATAAGCCCACTCGGCCATGGGCAAATTCAGTCATGCATCCTCACGATTAAGGGAAGAAACTGAGATAAGCTTATGGAAAATTCCCTTAAACTGTAAGGGATCTTTTCCCGAGCAAGAAAATATTCTTGCCTTAAAATTTTCATCTCAAAGCAGCTACCAAATTCAAGGAGACTCGTCATTGAATCCAAAAGATCCTCCTTAGCTGATCTTAATCTTTCAAAAAGAGGAAACCGAATCTCTAGTATTTAAAGACATGGACTTCACCAGTTTAGGAAGATAATGACAGATTTGGTGTCCACTCTAAAGTTGGCCCTAATTTTCCTTTTCTTCACTCAAAAATACTATCAATTAAAGAGGAATCTTCACCAATCAAGAGCTTTCCTAAAGGGCCAGCATATTTATACTATTTTGATTGAATTTTTCCTAATTATAATTTCCTTATTATTTTATTTTTAATTTGGTTTCCTAGTCAATCTTGTACAATTAATTAGGAGATTTTTTTTTCTGATATGTCATTTGACCTTTAACTATAAATAAGTCTCAAGAATTGATTGTAAATCATTCAAGATTCAAGTTTGAAGTCAATAAAATTCAAAACTTTCTACATTTTCAACTGGTGAGATTTTTTTCAACTTTTTTGTTGATTGTGGAATTGGTGTCTACTTATCAAGATAATTTGTGGCGTTTTTATCAATCTCTTTTCTCGAGTTAATTTGAACTTATTAAGATTTTTCTTGTGGTGTTATAATAAATTCATTTATTTTTATTATCTTAGTTTCGATCATAGGTTGATTGTGGGTTAAGTAGAGAAACTTTATTTAAAGATTAAGTTCTTGGTGCTAATTGTGTATGTGTGAAATTTTGATCACATTGTTGATCCTGGGTTCTGCATCATTTGGTATCAGAGTTTAGACACTAGATATATCTTACTATATTGCATAATCTATCATTGCATAGTTTTTTGTTCTTGTTCCATTCAGTTATTATTATATACATATCCTTTGCATCTGTTCATCCATATCATAAAACAAAAAAAAGAAAAATAAAATATGAGCAGTGAAAGAGTGAGTTGGACTATGCAGCAGAACTATCACTTCTGTTATAATCTAAGGGTGATTGAATTGGAGAGTTATGATATTATCTTGGGGGTGAAATGAAATAATGCAGTTCTATGAACTTTAGTTTTATCAACTTCAGAGTCAGCTTTGAAATGAATGGGGTGGCAGTCACCTTACAAGGAGTAACAGATATTGGCAGCCTGAGAAGATCAAGACCCCAACACCTAAAGAAAGAAATGGAGAAAAAGTTGCTCATAAATGCTGGTTAGCTTTTAGTGTGATAAAAGATAGTGTTGTAACAGCCGAAGGGCAAGAGGTGTTTAATTACAGGAAGAGGAAGATGGTGGCTCTCTTATCATGGTTTAGGACCCATATTTCTATGAATTTTGCCCAACTCTGGCAACCTAGATACCATCTTAGTATTATGGACATATTCCCCAAGTATGACCATTTCATAGGCCTTACCACCCTTTTTCTGCAGCAGAAGTGGCACAGGTCTTTGTGGACACAATTAACTGCCTGCGTAGTCCTCCCAAAGTCATGGTGATTGACGGGTACATAATCTTCACTAGTTAGTTTTGGTAGGAGTTCATAAAGCTGACAGGCAACTCCCTACATCTTAGTACCATCCACAAGCGGATTTTCAAACAGAGAGATTAAATCAATGCCTGGAGACCTATCTGCGTTGTATGGCAACTAAAGAACCTCAGACTTGGGCAAGATGGCTGGGGTTGGCAGAATGGTGGTATACCTATCATTCTAGTCTATACTTTATGGTTATCCTCCTCTGGACTCCTATGACACTTTGGAGATTGATACTCCTTCAGCTCAATTGGAAGGGTTTTTGGAGGAAAGGCAAAGGGTGAGTAAGATGCTGAAGCAACAGCTCCTAGAGGGCCAGCATTGTTATAAACAGTTTGCGGATCAGGGAGAGCTGAGAGAAAATTTGAAGTCAATGACTTGGTCCTACTCAAGCTACAACCATATAGGCAAACTTCCCTGGCAACTAGAAAGAATTTGAAGTTGGCAACCAAATACTTTGGACCTTTTGAGGTCATTGAAAGGTGGACTAGTAGTATATCGCTTAAAACTTCCTGAAGGTGCAAAGGTGCATCGGTGTTCCATGTGTCTCAGTTAAAGAAATACTACACAGGGGAAGAGTCTTATTTTGAAGAATTATTAGATGTAAATCCCCGAGAGTTATTTGAAATCAAGCCTTATCTAATACTGCAGTAGAGAACTCTATACTGCCAGGGTAAACCACCGAATCAGGTTCTGGTACAGTGGGCAGACATGGAGAAGGAAGAGGCTACATGGAAAGAAGTGACAAAATTATGAGTAAGTTTCCTGATTTCAACTTAGAGGACAAGGTTGCTTTTCAAGTGAGAGGAACTGTCAGGCCTGTGCTTTCAGCAGCGCGCCACTAGAAAAATTCAACAAGGCTCTAAAAGTTTACTAGAGGAGGGCGAGGGCCACTGGTGTAAAAGGGTGAGCTGGCGACAGTTTCAATATCTGGTTAATGGCTAAATTAGTTAGAATAAAAGAATCTTTTCTGTATTAGTTATTTTTGTAATTCCTTTGCTTGTTCGGGAGAGGGATATAGAAAACTTTGGAAGGGAAGAGAAGGCAGTAAGGAAAAAACATACTGACTGGATTTCTCAACTCTCAACTTTACTCAGAATTCTCTCTCAATTTTTTTCTTCCCACTCTCTCACTCCCTTCTCTCTGCTTTCTTTTTAAAACCCTAAATCTTATCCTAACCCTAATTTCCAAGCTCACCTATCAACCAATCCGTCA